ATATATATATTGTTTTTTCACTTTTTTAAGATAATAAATTTGTGTTGCTTTATTTAAAAAAGAAAGAACTGAAAGAAGAAAGATATAGAGAGAGAGGGAATAGGCCAAAATCAGCATAATTACTGGTAACTTTCAGATAAAATTATCAATGTATGTTCTGATATACAGGTTTTACTGAAAATTAATGGTGAGAATACAGAAAAGATCATTCTTGCCTGAAAAACTTACTGTGTATTTGTGCTAAAATTGACATTTAAGTAGACTTAAAGCTTGGAATGAGATATTAGTATGTAAACTTGTGCAAACAGACTTCACTGTATGACTCTTAACACAGACCACCAGGCTTACTTCACCCTATGCTGGTCCAACCTGACCTTTGCCTCTTTCTTTCTCACACCTTGTTTAAGAAACGGGCACCTAATCGAAGTTAGCCCTGATTATAACTTGGAAGTCATTAACAAAGCCCATTACCATCATGTGCTTGGAATATATGGTGCAAGAGGAAGTTGAGATGACTGTTTTCACCCACTCGTCGTGCCTCGTGGAGAACAGAAAGCCCGTCCATTTGGTATCTGAACCAATCAGATTCAAGGTCAGCAGTCAGGTCTCAACATAACAGTCATTATTAAATGAAAATGGGGCTTGAGATAAATGACCCTTTGCAGCTGAAGAAATATTTAAACCCATAATTTTCAGGTTAAGTCATTCGATTTAACAGACGGAAAGGCTGGAGTGACCCTTGAAGGACTTTTCCTGTCTTATTGAAGAGGGGAAGGAATTCAACTGGGCTGCTTGACTCTCATTAGGGGGTTTGACTTCCCAAGCATTTAGAGTTTTTTTAAAAAATGCATTCACATCTTTAATAAGGGGAGTAATGTCTGTGTCTAAAACATCTGTTTGGGATGTGTGTATGTATACTTTTCTCATTTCCTTCATTTATGTTAATTGAAGAAATTATAAAACATTCAAGTTCATTTCAAACATTCTCCTTTAAAATACAACAGTGCTTGATTTCGCATACTTTAATATTTCAATATGACTTCAGGTTGGTAAAAGTGCATAGAACACTAACTAGGCAAATTAATCTTTGCACATTTTCCCTAACCAAACGACATTAGATAATTATTAATAAAAGAAAATGAAATTATACTTCTTTTTTTCTTTATTTTATTTTCCCATCACCATTTATCCCCTTTATACCCTCCTATAAAATGGGGAAAAAATAGTAAGAAAAAATCTGTTCTATTATCACTAAAGTAGCAAGAGAGTCTTGTTGTTGCAAAATTTCCATCTCAAATGATTTCGATGGGGCGCTTCTGTAAAGATGAAAACTGTACATATATCGTCAATTAAGCAAGCTGCACCAGGCCCTGGGAAAGCAGACATGAAATGGTGGAGATGGCCGAAGGTTGTCACTGGAGACTAGGGATTAGAACCTGGTCAAAGCAGCAAATAAAAAAAATTTAAAAAGCTCTTAAAAGAACCTGACAAGGGAAGCTTAAATCTTATTTAAAGGGTTGGGTTGTACTAAGCCTTGAAAAATTCAATCCTCCGGAGGACTATATCTCACTAAGAAAGCTCCATGTAAGTTTATCATGTATCCAACACCTAGACATTGGGCCTCAGAGACCACTAGGATAATATTTCCTCTGGATTAGCACTGAAGCTTGGAAGTGACATTTGTAAGAGGCAGGCTTTAAACTCCAGGGCTTTTCCAATTACAAAATGATCATTCTGGAGGGGGAAAGTGCTTACTGCAGAGAGAAGTTGCTGTGATTTATGTCTTATAGGATCTTCCTTTTGCGCACCAAGTTACTTACTAGAATAGGTATATTTTGCTTTTCCTTTTGTGCTTTAACTAAAGTTGTCTTTTGATTGATAATAAGGGCAGGGTGTATTTGTTTCAGTGTGTTTTTATTTTTTCAGTTCCGCCATGTCCAAAAGAATGATGGTGCGAATCCTAGTTACAGGTTATATCAGCAATTAAACTGTGCACATCATGGGAAACATCATGAAATGCCAACACTGGGCCAATATAGCCTCTGAAGCTTTACTGACAGATCCTTTCCTGCGCAGACTCAATGGACCTCTCTCCAACTGCTCTCTGTGATGAAAGCCAGACAACAATGAGGTGAGACTGAAAAGTTGTCCCTCCTTTACTTTTGGTCCATCTGTCAAGGTCTCTGGGATCTCTGTAAAGTCTCCTATTGTTCCACATATAAAGGGTACTTTGGATGAATAATATCTAGTGACAGCCAATGTGATAAACTACCTGACTCCCCTGGGTCGTTTTCCTAGGCTGGTTGTCATAGCTCGTTGGCCAGGATGTATGTTTTGAGCAGTTGCAAACATGGACAGGTTTGGGGAAATAATTTAAAATAGTATATCTCTTTATTTACATTTGTGTGCACACATCCAGGGCATCTAGAGAATAAGTAGACAGATTTGCATTTGAAGCCAAAGGAAGTTGGCTAACTTTGGTTTCACTTCAGAACTGCAGGCTGCATACTAATTGACTCATCTATTTTACAAATCTGTGAGACCTGCCGGTAGTGGGACTGAGGAGCAGATCATGGCTGAATCACAGCAAATCCATCACCCCTGGTAGAAAAACAACTCTTAGATTTACTGAGTATGTCAGTAGAATGAGTGTTACACAGAGAATTCTTCCCTCTCAAAAATAAAATAAATCTTGAAGCCAAATGTCATAAGCCAAATATGAAAAAACAATAATTTTTTTACATTTCCACATATTTTATAGAATAAGGATTAGAAACCTGGCATGAAGAAATTCCTGGCTTCAACTCACATATCCACTCAGTCCTCACCTCGCTTTTTCTTTTTTCATCCTTCATTTCCTGTTCCTATCCTCATCTCCTGCACTTTTTTCCTCTGGATTCTGAAAGTTTTTATTGAAACCTGAGAGTCATAGTCAGTTCTGGAGTTGTAGGAAAGTTCTGCATACACTCAGAGCACTTTTACCAAATTTTACAAAAATTTAGGATATACACATTTTTAGAAAACTGAAAATTGGTGGTTCTTAGTTAGGCAACTCTCGAATCACATTTAAAATCAGCATTAACCTAAGTGATAACAGAATTATATAAAATTAATATTAAAAATGGTGATTGAGCCCTGGCCGGTTTGGCTCGGTGGATAGAGCGTCGGCCTGCGGACTGAAGGGTCCCAGGTTCGATTCTGGTCAAGGGCATGTACCTTGGTTGCGGGCACATCCCCACTAGGAGGTGTGCAGGAGGCAGCTGATCGATGTTTCTCTCTCATCGATGTTTCTAACTCTCTATCCCTCTCCCTTCCTCTCTGTAAAAAATTAATAAAATATATTTTTTTAGAAATGGTGATTGAAATAAAACTCCAAATCTGAAGAGCCAGCCACATGAGGCAGCTATTAAGAGCAAGAGGAGGATAAACAGAACAGAGGGTATGCAGATCAGCTCTGACTTTATAGAATTTACTGCATCTCATCTAATGGCAGTTGGGAGGGGGGAACACACAAAATTTAAAACACAAACAGTTTGGGGGAACTATGGAACATTAGTGGTGGAATAGATCTAATATAGAATGAAAGCTGATGCCTAAAAACTATACATCCATTTAACAATAGTCTTTTTTTCCTAATTTTTTATTTTTCAACTACAGTTGATATTGAATATTATTTTGTATTTGTTTCAGGTGTGCAACTTAGTGGTTAGATAACCATACCCTACAAAGTGGTCCCCCCAATATTTCAAATACCCATCTGTCACCATACATACTTATTACAATATTATTGACCATATTCCTTACGCTGCACTTTACATCCAATGACTATTTTGTAACTACCAAGTTGTAGTTCTTAATCCCTTTATCTTAGTTACCCAGCCCCTCAACCCCCCACCCTTCTGGCAGTCATCAGTCTGTTCTCTGTCTAAAAAAGTTGTGGTACATATATACAATGGAGTATTATTCAGCCTTAAGAAAGAATGAAATTTTAACCATTTGTGACAGCATGGATGGACCTAGAGGGTATTATGCTAAGTGAAATAAGTCAGACAGAGAATGACAAATACCGTATGATTTCATTTATATGTGGAATCTAAATACCAATATGAATAAACAAAATAGAAACAGGCTCATAGATACAGAGAACACTTACCATGATAGACACTGTACTAGGCACTAGGGGTCAAATAGTGAACAAAACTAATCTCAGTCCCTTACCAACATGAAGCTGACAGTCCAGTTGGGGGAATTAGCAAGCTGACATACTTGGGAAAGCATGCGTCTCTGTGATGAGTGCCAAGGAGAGGCTCACAAGCCATGAGAGCCCGTCAAAGGTGAATAGGCCCTGCTCAGGGAACACTTTCCTGAGAAAGTCACCCTTGAGCTGAACGAGATTGAGGAATAAGCAGGAGTTAACTAAAGCATAATTAGAAGGGAAGAAAGCTGCTCTCTATTAAAGTAAAATTTTGGCAGTGTTTCTGTTGTGTTGTTTTTTCATTAACATAACTCATCGACTTAATAGTTGTTAGGACTAAGATTAAAGGATATTAGAAGCAGCAGTGTGAATGGGTGATAACCTTTTCTTCTGCCCCCAGCTTGGTTGAGATATAAGTGAACAATAAAAATTGCATATTTTCAAAGTATACAACGTGATGTTTTGATATTTGTATACATCGTGAAATGTTTACTTGTTGACGTAGTAATCATCTTACAGTTTCTTTTTTTTGGAGGGGGTGAGAACAGTTCAGATCTAGTCTCTTCACAAATTTCAAGTATACAATATACTGTTATTAACTATAGTCACCCTGCTATACATTAGTTCTCCAGAATTTATTCATCCTGCATATCTAACACTTTGAAATGTTGCCTGTTCACTCCTCCATTCAAAAGGGCCTGCTCAAGCCACTTGCAGGGTTCGGTTTCCAGGCTCTCTCCCACTCTTAGGATGTTGCTTTGACCCTAAAGCTTATTAAGCAATGAAAGGATGGAAGAGCATTCCAAGCAGAGAGAACAGCTTGTGCAAAGGCCCTCTGGTTTAGGCAAGAAGCAATCTGTGCTAAGTTTTATAGATTGTGTCAAAGAATTCTGTCTTAATTCTCAAAACACAGAAAGCCATTTAGGGCTTCTGAAGCAGAGGTCAAGAAGGTTGACGTCACCAGGCTTGCACTTTGAAAAGATTCTTCTATCTACAATATGGAAAACAGATGGAAGGATGAAAAGTTTGATTGTGAACATAACCTTTGCCTCAGAGATGTTACTAAAATGAAGGTTTCTGTCACATTATTTGGAAGAAAGATACAAGAATCACTTCTCAGTTTATTTATTCAAATGACATTTATTGTGCACCTATGTACTGATTTAGTACTGAGGCTAGATCAGTGACAAAATTAAGTTCTCTGCCCTCCTAGAGCTTACACGATAGACAAAATATAAAAGTAAGTAATATAACTGGGATGATCAAGATAGTCCTCTTTGAGAAGGTGTGTTTTAAGCAAAGACTTGAAAGAAGGAAGGTGTAGCCTTGCAGGTGTCTAGGTGAAGAGACTTCCTGACCAAGGAGCAGTCAGTGCAAAGTCGCTCAGGTGGGAGCCTACCTGGCATGTATGTGGGACAGCTGGGAGGTCAGTCATGGTGGTTCAGACCATCACCTTCTATGCCCTCTCCATGAAGCTTCCCAGAATTAGGCATCTTTGAAACAAAGCAGGATATGGAACAGACAACACTACTTCAGGTTGTAGCCAAGTATTTAAGACTCTGAGGCAATCTTGGTCTAACTGGTGCCCTATGCACAGATATGAGTAGGATGAAAGGTGAAAAGCCTTAGAATCAAGACCCAACATGAAATAGTAAGAACAAAGTCTTGCATTTGCATAGGAAGTGTTAGTTTACAAAATGTGTTTATAGACAGTTCCCAACTTAGGATGGTTCAACGTTAAGACTTTTTGACTTTAAGATGGTGCAGAAGTGATATGCATTCAGTAGAAACCATACTTCACATTTTGAATTCTGCTCTTTTCCTAGGCTAGCTGGGAAATCTGGGCAAAGGGGTGAGCTGCAGCTCCCAGGGAGGTACTCCAGAGTGAACAACCAAAACTCCACAGTGGACTGTGTTCCCAGTGGTTTTGTATACTTAGCACGTTTAAGGTAGGCTAAGCTAAGCTATGACATTCAGTATTTTGCATGTATTAAATGAATTTTTTACTTCTGATATTTTCAACTTATGATTGGGTTTATTGGGACATAACCCCATCATAAGTCAAGGAGCCCCTATATATTTATTATACCAATTCACTACTTCAACAATTGTGTGAGATAAGTAAGACAGAAGTATAGATTTAAAAATTTACAATATGGATAGTGTCTTTAAAAATGTTTTAGCAACAATGTTTGAAAGATTTTTTTCTTTTATTTCTTCTCCTCTATATTTAGATACCCTTATCAAGTGACTTTCACCTAAACAGAATTTGAAAGAAATATACATAGTGACATTTCACTACTTACACATTGAGGTCTCATTTAAGCCTAAGGTATACATACACATGAAAATATTTATATACAAGTAAAGCTAACACAATAGGGAGAAAATTTGTATACCCAATCTTTCTCAAGATTAGTATCAAATATGCTTACTTCAGAACTTCCCTACTTTATCTTTTCTAACTGCTTACTATAAGTATTAACACTATGCTTGGAAGCAAAAATTTATCCAGTATGTAAACTTGAGGATGAATGTCTACACAGTAAATCAACTATTTTCCCAGGAGAGGTGGCAGACTTTGAAAGGCAGATCAGCAAGAGAGAAAAAATCCAGAGAAAGCAGAATGTGTGAGCTAAGTTACAGTGAGCATCCGTGCCTCTTACGAATTCTTATTGGTACTTGTATCTTGATTTAGTCTACACAGTAAATCAACTATTTTCCCAGGAGAGGTGTCAGACTTTGAAAGGCAGATCAGCAAGAGAGGAAAAATCCAGAGAAAGCAGAATGTATGAGCTAAGTTACAGTGAGCATCATGCCTCTCACTAATGCTTATTGGCACTTGTATCTTGATTTGGTTGGCAGCGCCTTAATTTTATGAAATCATACATAGTACTCCCACAAGGAGTTGTGATGAGAGAATGACAG